AAAAGACATTCGGAATTATACCTTATGATGCAAAATGCTTAAGATGCACAATTTACGAGGGGATAATTTGCACTGAAATGTAATGTATTAATTTAATAGATACAATTAATTGAATTTTCTAATAGATATGTGGATAAATTAATAAGACAATTAATGAACAAAGGTCATTTTTAATAGAGATCGTTGATTTCAAAATTATGGATCATAGCGATAGAAATATAAATTACTATGCAAGGTTTAGCATAAGTAATATGATATGCCAATATAAATTTGAAACAAAGCACATAATCAAGTGTTTTAGTGAGCTCATACGAATTTGTTGTTCAATAGTCGATCTAGCATAATTTTTGAAAATTAATTGTACTTAGACGCGACTATTTCTATATATTCTACATTGTCTATAAAGAGCGCGTATGTACACGAACAAATTCAGCTCAAATAACTCTACTAGATGAAAATAGATTTTACTATTAATTCGTTATATTTACATTTATATTTATATATTTTCGTTATATTCGTTATATTACGTTATTTTTAGTATACTTTTTTAATTTGTTTACCTTTATCAATATTTCTGTTTATAATATATGACTATTTATAATAATCTCTTCTTCTTACTTTTATTAATCGATAATAATTATTTTTTTTTTTTTTTTTTTTATGAATTCGTTATAATTTATTTTTAGAGAATAGTTGACTTTGTATTGTAAATCCATTCGAAACATTATGCAAACATCTTTAATTATTTGCAATCTTTACGTATGTGACGACAAATTTCGTTTATTAAAATCATAGAATTATGACGTAAAGTCTAACAAACATAATATCTTCGATAGTTGTAAAATATATGGCTGTTGCTAGCAAATGTTGGCTTTACTTTACCAAATATGATTAATATACGATACTTTTAATAATGATACGCGAGATTATGTACAAACACGTGCCCTAAATATAACAAATCACGCAGAATTTTATTATAATTCGTTTTATATGATCGACGACAACTTTTAAAGACTACATTATTCGCCGATTATTAAGAACTTATATGCAACTCTTGTGATTTATAAGAAGAATGCGAAATAATTTATTGAATCCGTTAGATTATTTTGTGACTATATTATGGTACAGAAATTAAAATTTCAATGGTAGTGAGAAGTATGTATATAACATTGAATCACAATAGGAGTATTGCAAATACCTTTCATCGTATTTTAATATACACGTGGAAATCATGCGACTTGCTACTTTTGTATAAAATATAATGTATCTCATAAAAAAATTCGAATGTCTTAGGCAAAGATTCCGAACAGTCTGATTGAAGGTTGAAAAATTCTGGAATTTCACGAAAGAAACAAAAGGTAGGTAATTTCATAATACAATGATATTGTTCGTTGAAAATGATCGATAAAATAATTCAAATTATGATCCTGAGAGCACAGACCAAGCATCCAACGATTATAATATTGCAAGCTTATAATACGGTAGTAAGACCTTTTATTTAACATCGATTTCGTCAACGTCGTTGTCGGCGCTTAGCTCCTACTTCAAACGTACGAGCGAGCAAATAATAATAATAAAAAAAAAAAAATAAAAAAAAAACAATTGTAGTCGCATCCCAGTGTCGGAGACTTCTCTGAGAAATCGAAATCGAAGAGCCAAGAATCGGTGTCTTGTTTGTTCGAGTGGTAACCAGGGAGACAGCGGCTGCGCATCACCATTACCTACAAATAAAAGTCCGCTTTTCAATTATTATACAATGTTCCGATGTGTATTGCTTTGATGAATCAAATTGGATTTTTGCTGCGCCGATGCTGAGAGATGCAATATACAATAATCAGTGCGGCTCGTATTGATGAATGTTGAACGTTGATGGAATTTTAGAAAAATTTTGCATACCGTTGCGAAATTCGGAGCAACATTACAAACCCGAAAAAAAATTCAAACTTAGAGGCAAATTCGCTGAATCGTCGAGTGTTCTCATCATTCTCCCGATGCAAAATCTACCGACAAATTTCTTGTAAAATTAAAATCTTATTTGAATTGAAATATAAATAAAAAAACTATTAAATCATCACTTTGCCCATTAAATATATATATATATATATATATATATATATATATTCAATAGTATTTCAATGAGATATGATGGACAATTGTATAATCAGTCATATCAATTGTTCAAATCCAGCTATGTAGAATTGAATCGGATAATTTATTTGCCACTTTTGTTTTGCAACAAATAAATAAAAATAAGTGAATTTACAAGCAAATCATAAAATGGCTTCAAAATTTCGAGCGCCGCTTGTTTTCAGGCTAAGTATCGTAATAAACAATCAAAACATTTCCTGGAGATATCATTTATGGTATTATAAGTTCTTTCAGTAATAATTTCAGAGTGTTTCATAAAAAATTCCGTTCTTATAAATGTCACTAGCGATTCTAAAAGTCTATGTTTAGAAAAATAATCGAAATTGCGGAAATAAGAAGAGTTGTAAACAGGACATTTTTTTTTTTCGATTCATTTTAAGAGTCGATTAATGATAATAAGCACCGACAGAAAATATGAAAAAACATGAATATTTAAACTTTCTTTCTTAACAATCTTTGACTATTCATTTCTGCATTTTTAATTTACGCTTCAGCACGACCTAATTCTAGCTTTCGAAATTTTGAAAATTTTATATAGATATACAATCACTTTTTATCGATAAATTATACTTTTAATGTAAAATTATGTTTTAAACTAAATCCGTGCTCATCATTAAAATTACCTTATGTGGTATGCCAGTATGAGCAATTTATTGTGAATTAAAAATAACATGTTCGATTATATCGTAAGGTCTTTTATAATACGTATCGCAGTTTGTTATTAGTTTTAAATAAAATACGATGGTATTTAATTAGTATATGCATTTTATTTATAAATGGCACTTGTTTGATTGACACTCAAAGTATATTAATAAAAAAATCATGACGTTTTTCTTTCTCATGCAACAATAATCATTACATTCCTACCTGGGCACGTAAAACATGCATTATTTTTTAATATATTTGTTATATAAATCTATTTTCTCAGATTTATCAAATAAATATACTAATGCAACGTACGTAATATTTGATTTATCATTTCTTGGGCTTCTGAAGCATATGAAATAAAAGCATTTGAAAAATAAAAGCTGAGCTCTATTTTCTCTCATCAAACTCTCCACGAGTGGTACTTTATTTAAATAAAATAAATATTAAATAGTTCGAGTCCAATTAAATTCAGCTTTTATTTATTAATTCTCAGAATAATATACGCGAATATATATTGATATTTCAAAAAAGTTGTCGAAATTCGAATTTTAATCTTTTTTTTTTTTTCTTTTTAAGATAAATTTCTTATTCTGATAGTTAATGTTAACGTAAAAGAGTTAATCAATATTTTTATTATAATAAAATTTATTCTCGAAATAACAAGCGTGATAATTTCAATTTCTATTTTATATTTGTAAAAAAACAATGGATTTTTTTTATAATACATCGGTCTACAGTGAAGTAAGGTACATCGAATTCTTTTATCTGTACTTATATTAGTACGAATTTTGTAATGACATCGAATAATAAGATAGATAATACAGAGGCAAAATATTTAACATCTTACGTAATGTATTCAAGTTATGTATGAAAAGTTATTTGATCGGCTCGTTGAATTTCGAATACAAAGTTGTTTTTTATAACTTCATGAATTCATTCCAAGTTATCACGAGATAATGATTTCATATGTAAAGTATATCGTTTAAAAAATCGTTATAAATTTGTACATTTTTTTCTTCTTCTTTTTTTTTTTCATTCATTCGATACAAGCAGAACTGACAGTAGAAAAAAATTTCTCTAAAGTTTTCGGTTGAATTAATCATGCAGGTAAATGCACGGAATTGTAGCCAGTCAATTTTCCTTCAAACAGGCGTTTAAATTTAAATGCGCTTCAAAGTATTTCCCATTATGTTTTATTATACTTATTACTCGCGCTTTGACTCAAATATATACGACTTAGTGATTAATGCACGATATTGTGCTCGTTCAAGTAATCATCAAAATTATCGTAAACTCAAAATAAAGGTTTCATTGATTCAATCAGTGTTGCATCCAAAGCATCTGAAACGGAGTGGGATTTTTATCCAACGCAATTGACAATACAATATTTGTAGGATCTCTCTTCCGGCACTTGCCGTTTCTTTCTACATTATTGTTTTGAAGATAGAGTTAGTGGGCGATAATGTATATTATGTCTTTTGTACAACGTACTCGTATATCTATAAAAGTATTATGATTAGATTTCCTAATGGGGGTATTGTCATCGATTAACGCGTACACGTGAAAAAAGGATTGTAGTGGCCGAGCAGAAAAACAAAAAAAAAAAAACTCCTGTTACAAAAGTGGAGCGAATGGTCCGTCGATCGCGCTTACCATTACACATAAATATGAATTAGAATTCATAAAAACGATCTAATGCCACTCTCGACATATCGTTGCAGTGTAAAAAAAAAAAAAATAAAAAAACAACATTGAGTTACCATTCCAGCTCGAGAGACTTCGGTCGCAAGCATCACTTGCTTATTAATGCAGCGAAGCTCGATAAAGAGCCGTGCGGTGATAAGAATTGACAAAGGCAGCAACGACAGATAGTCTGGCGTCGATTTCCGGCCGAGTGGTCGCGCGCTCGCGGTCGGCGCCGTCGTCATCAGTCGGCGCCGCGACGCACGGCCAGACGGACGGAGGGCGCGAGTGAGAAGTGTCAGGACGAGCGAGTGAAATGCGGCGGCGCGCGAGGAGCAAATGCCGATCCCGGCGGAAGCCCGGTCCTTGAGCACCGCGAACCAGCCGTGCTTGCCCGGTAGCCCGAACGGGAACGTCCCGTCATCGCGCCCCACGATTCCCCGCGATTCCCCGCGAGCTCGCGTCCTCACCACCTCGTCCTCTCCCCCCGATTTGCCTCGAGCGATGGCACGCGCGTGAGCATGGAGGAGCCCAAGGGCGATCAGAGGCCGCATCAGCGCGTGGAGGAGTCTCCGCCAGGTGCCGGGGTCGTAACGGACTCGCGGACCGAGTCGCCGGCCCAAGAGGCATCGCAGCGGCGTAGCTTCCAGCGGGACGAGAGACCGGCTGTCGGCGAGCCGAGCGACCGTCCGGCTACACCCTCGGCATCGGCATCAGCCACGGCCAACAGGCAGCAGCAGCAGCAGTCGCCGGGACTCGCCAAGAAGGCCTCCTCCAAGGCCAGTGTGTATCCCTCGCGATTGTCCAACGTTTCCAGGGATGCTTTTGGTGATTGATTAACGGCGACCTGAGCCAAGGCTGCACGCGAGAGCGCGATAAGGACGAACGCTTGTCTAGTGAATTGAGAGGTCAATCTCGAGTCCCGTTACCCGGTCAGCCGGTACCCGTTCAATCGACCGCTGGGCATGAAATCTCATTATTGCATTAGCCGCGTCCGTTTATTTAAATTTGTCGTTAATGAGATTGGTCATGAGGTGTTGCTCGTTACGAAGATTTATCTCGATTAAGCCCTAGTAAAATATTGTCAAAATATTCGTATTATTTATGTTAAAATCATTGCTTAGTATGGCATTGACGAATTCAGTTATGCAGCCGAAGTTGAAAATCCTATTCTTCCCTTTGTATAAAACGAGTTAAATTTTGTATATTGTTTGAAATGTCTGTAGACGTAACAAGAAAAATATTTCTAGAATATTTCATCTTAAAGTTCGAACCGAACCTTTAACTAAAGCTTACAAATAATTAAAAGAATTATTTATCTTATTTAAATATGTATGTATGTATGTATGTATGTATGTATGTATATAAATACACATATCATAGTTCAATTATCTGTCACTTGGCTTCAATGCACATGGTAGTCTTAAAAAGGAATACCTAAGAGATTATTTTTTATTTGTAATTTTTATTACTAGTGATGATTAAATTGTGATGATTTAGTAAAGACATTTTATATAGACTTGTTACTAAAATTAAAGATATAGTATGACTAGTTTAATTTTGATATCCTCGTGAGGAAAAAAAAAAACGATATTGATCGAAATTTTTAAACTTATATCGAAACATTCATCACTCGATAATGACGAAATGTATATTTGATTTACGATGAAAGCTTATATTACTATTTTACAATATAACTACATTACTGTATGAGTATTTTAAATAATTTGCATAATTTATGTTCATAATTTTTTATCATAAGAATTTACTCGATTATCGACGATGGTATTTCATTTTCAATCATTAATACTGATTCGATAGATCATTAAATGATTAATGATAATTCGATTATTTAAACGAAACTATAATAAAACGCTTCTTTATATTAAAGTGTATAAACACACACACACACACACACACACACACACACACACACACACACAAAAACAAACAAACGAACATCGTTTTCATCATTTTTGTTTTTATTTTCCAGTTTGTAAATTATCATAGACAATGTAAAATGTATGTTATTTATATAATTCTGTCAGGCTCGAAATATCAAAAAATCTGATAAACGCGATGAATTAAATAAAATGTTAACAAGATAGATGACGTATTCTCAGTGCAAACGAGTTGCTTTAATCACGATGGTAATAATACTAAACTATGCTAGTAGATTATGTATCGGTATTCTCAGCGATTAACCAGCTCATAAAAAATATTGACTTTCACCTTATTTCAGTATTTTTGCAATAAGGTGTTGCAATAAATAAGTAACCCATTATTTCTATTTCTATTTCAGATCTACTATTTACTTATAACACAATCCGGATACTTTGTTTAGCAAGCAGGCTTATGATTTTGATTTTTTGAAGATGTATCGTATGTTCAATCTTATCTTCAAGAAAGTACGAACCATGTTTAAAATAAAAATATTCCATTTTTAATACAACATTAAATTTTCTGTCTTATCTGCTTTCGATTTCTCCAATGATATTTATATTTATATACACTAATTTTTTCGTATTTCCTACTTTCTTCTTTGTTTTTCTAATTCAACTCGATCCTCCTTATTTTAATAATAATTAATTGCATACATCGATTTCATGTTTATAATAATAATCAAAAAAAAAAAAAAAAAAAAAAAAAAAAAAAAAAAAAAAAAAAAAAAAAAGAAGAAGGAAATAAATGAATTTGATTATTTATTTTTTAATGCTAAATATATACTATTCTTTATGCTAAATCGTATTCTAGTCTATCATTTTATTAATGTAATTAAATTTCCAGTGAACTAAATTAAATATATCGAAAGATCATATTTATACTTTTTATCCAGTAGATTTCCGAATTATGAAGAATTTTTTAGAATTAGAATTGAATTGTATTACGAAATTTATATGAATGTTTATAAATTATAAATTAGCTATTAAATCTATAGTCGATAGACTCGTTACAATAAATATTTGATGACATTATATTTAGCCAGTATACTTATAATTTTAGGTTTTAGTTACTTATATAATAGAATTATTTTTTAAATTGTTTTATAAAATTATGGACATTGTTAGACAAGGTAGGAAAGTCCATAGCTACCCTTGAAGTTTATTTATAGATTACGTTTTTTAAGTAAAATATTTGCTAGTTATGTAGAGTTCTATTGAAGAAAGTAAGACATAAGAAAAATCATGTAATGTTTGAATATTATTCATTTTTTATACATAGATCTAACATTTACATTTTATTGACATTTTGTATATTTAAGTCCAATGTATTCTTATGCTAAATAAAAAGCAAGTTTTATAAATTTTATATATTTTGAAACATTTCCCGTTAATTTTTCAGAAACTGCATTCTGTTTAAATGAATTATTTTAGCAATTATTTTTACATATCTTTAACTTTATCAATGGCATAGTTACTCTTTTATTTTACTTTTTATTTCAACTTATTCTTTTCATACTATTAATTAAGTAAAGTCTTTATTTAGTTTTTGTGTTTGCATCGTATACATCGTATAATTTTTTTAATTTTCAAATTTTTATAAATCTTTTGTAAATTTAACTTTTTGTAAAGGTTGAAGTTTTGATATTAAATATTCACGTGGCATCATTGTCTGTTATAAGTAATACTAAAATCATTTCTGCATTATTTAATACAAAATTTTTTTTTTTTATACAACTGATAATAGATATATATCATAGAATTTAAAATAATGTGTTCGAAAGTAGCAGGTCAAGTTTATATAATTTGTTTTAATTATACTTCATTAGAAACGTGCTCCATTTTTTTTTTCTTTTTTCTTCTGTTATAGTATAAGAATTGTAAAATCCATTTAAATTTATCCATGAATGAAGTACTAAAAAGTCGGTGATCGATAATAAATATAATCGTAAAATAATGTGTGACAATGCAGTTATGTTTTGAAAAAGTTAAATGCAGTATTTTAGAAATATAGATAACCAATCAAATAATCTGGAACTAAAGACAATTATGGTCGTTACAAGGCTAGGGAATATTTTACAAATTTTTAATTTTAAAACATTTATGAATCTTTACAATAAGTAATAATATTTTGTAGTCGGTATAAAACAATGTGAACAATGTGAAAAATAATGATTAATGAGCTAATTTAATAAGAAATTAAAAAAATTATGTAAAATAGTAATTAGAACAAAATAAAAAATTTCATAGTATTTAAAATATTAATTTACAGAATAATAAGCAAAGTTAATGTATTAAATAAATATTGATTGTGTTGTTAGAGTTGAAAATTTTTAAACAGAATTTAATTTTTTAACGGAAAATAGTGTCCTTAATAAAGAATAAATATAAAAAATTGGAATTTCGAAGTTTCAAATATAATTGCAAATTTAATAGAACAACAAGAAGTAATAAAGTAATACAAACTTTCAAAATAACATTTTATTAATTATTAACAGGAGTATTGACTTTTTGAAATATATATTTAAATATTAAGTTGTAAAATTGTTTTAAATATAATTTTAATTTAATCTTATTGTTGAATATAAAGATAAATTATTTATTAAACGTATTTTTATTAATACACACACACACACATATATATATATATATATATATATATATATATATAGATATATATAGATTACGATGTTTTATTTTATCTAAAAACTTTTAGTAATTTAGAAACCCTATAACGTTATTGCGTCAAGGTAAACTCAGGTGAAAACAGTATGAAAAGTTCGAATTGTATTTAATTTGTGTTTTGATTTATGAATACTTATAAAAACATAGACATTAAGTTGTTAAACTTTTCATATATAATTGCATCAGCCACTGAATAGACAGTGAGGCAAAGAATTTGTTAGGATTTGGAAAAATTAAATGTCAAATTAATTTTATCAATTTGGAAAAAAAATTCTTGTTCAATATATGAGCTCCCATATACTTCATTTATTTATAGAAAAATATAATCAAACGTAGTTTATTCATATTATATATTCATAAACGAAGTCTATTAAATTAAATTAATAAATAAAATAGTTAATAAACAGTTAATAAAAAATAAATATGCTTCTTCAAAATTACATTTATATATTTGTATTTTATGTAATTATAAGCTAGTGTTTATTAAATGAATTACATATCCAATGAAAATTCTCTTAAAAAGATAATAATTATTTATAAAATTTTAATTGCAAATAATAGATTGTTATAGTGTATATATAAACATTCCACTTAAAAAAAAAAAAATAAATACTCAAATTGGTCATTTGTTTTAAATGTAATCATTCACTTTGCATTATTTAAAAAATACTTTAAATTCTGCATATTTTAATATCCATGCTATAATATATTTACGAGATAAGAAAATTGCTTTATTTGTAAATAAAATGTGTAATTCAAATTTTTATCGATTCTATGCTTTCTTGGCCACCGATATTCAGTGGCAGCAAACTTGTTTTTGGAAAATCTTAAAAACTTTTATTATTTATAATTTTATATTTTAACAAATAACATTAATCGATTAACTTTTAGTAGATATATGGAAATATTAAAATTAATTTTTATTATATAAATTATAATGTTTACATCATATGTGCTGGAAAATAGATTAATTTTAAATTAATTGAAAATTGTTGTAATTTGCTATATATTTAGTTGCATACATGATATATTATATGTTACCATATCTATTTCAATGGAATTCATTATTTGCCTTTTTAAAGTATAATCAAATATATTATTCAATATTTTTGTTGAATCGAATTATTTTATTGAATTTTTCTTATAAATGTCTTGTTCATGTATGGCACCGCGGTTATTCAAAACGGTATGGTAATTACATTATATAATAATAAAATTTTAATCTAAATTATTATAAATTATCAATAATATTAATTATTTTAAATACCTTATTAGTGAAATAAATAAATAACGTGATATTAATAACTAAGACTGATAGAAATCTTGATTATAGAATAGAAAACACGTCAAATTATAGTAACTAATATTGCTTAATTTTGAAAAATGAAATGAGAATTGGAAATTTAAATGAAAAATTGCAGTAAATGAAGTAAATGAAGGTGAAAAACAATATTACATTAAATAAGGTAATTTTAAAATGATATTAATATTTTGGACATATATAACATATACTACGCAATGTAATTATTTATTTATAAGACTATAAATTTTCATATATTTTATACCCTTTAACTAAATATTATTCATATTTTGTTTTTAGAACATTAAAGGTTTTTACACTGAAGTGATTAATTTCATTTATATAATTATATAGCAAGAGTGTTATAAAGTGAATGTGTAGTAAGAAGTGATTAGTTTAATTTATATAATTATATAGTAATATGCAATGTTCCATATTAAGTTTTTTAATTTGTTTTAGACTGTCTTATAATTGTAATTTGCTATTTACGACGGCATAATAAAAAAAAAAAAAAAAAAATTAGGGAAACCCATTACTTTATAAAATACATTTTTTCTTAATTTCCCATTCTTTAATTTTAGAAGCTTTTAATATTGTTTTTAAAAATATCGTATTGTTTAATTTATTCCTTATGAAATAAAATTAGTGAGGTTTTATCGAAATAATGATCAATAATCTTTTTTATTTCTAATATTATTCTATTTTGTCATAAAATAATTCTTTTAATCCTTTTTGGAAAGAGAGTGAGAGCGAGAAAGCTGAAGCTAAATATACATTTTTAATGAATATTAAATAATTTGATATTAGTGAGTGAAAAGTTATAATTGATCTTAAAGTAAAATTCAGTTTGTATGTGTTTGAATATCAAGTTCAACGATTCCGTGAGACGATATTATTGAAGACAATAAAACGTGTATTATAAGATTTCAGTTAATTATTAAGAATTGTATTAAGTAATTAAGAACTAATTTAATTATAATTGAAATTAATGATGAATCAATTAATATTAGAATACGAATAGAAAAACTACTAAAAATTAAATTACAATTACTTAATTATTATTGATATAAAAGGTAAAAATTTTTGGTTTTATCATTTAATTTCAAGAAACGTTATTAAGTATAAAATTTTTATTTAAAGCCAACATAATGAAAATTTGACTGCCATAGTTTTTCACTTTCAATGTACCGATTATTCTTACATTTAATTTAACGATGGCGAAAAGAAAAATTGAATATTACATGATTTCCACTTCATAAAGTATTGTTAGTTATTAGCAGTTTCATATGTCAGTATATGTATATATATTTATATATATAACTAATAAAATTAATAATTTAAAATTTGCATTTAATGTTAATAATTATACAAAGTCGTAAGCAATCACGACTTTAAAATGCTTGAATCAAGTACATAAAATATTGGTAAAATAAATTATTCAAGTATATATGTAGTAATTTTCACATAATATAACGAATGGTCACGTCTTGTAAACATGATTGTTTTAATCTTTCATAGGAAGATTATGCCAATGTCTAATGAAATCGTGAAAAGGATAAAATTTTTACACACTATTGTTCATGTTTATTTATTAATTTTTTTTTTTTTCATTTTATTTTTCATCTCTATACGTTTGATTCATTTCAAATTATGGCCCAGGTCGGTGATTTTTATACTTGCAGCTCTTCGTAAAACCTAACGATCGACGGCAAAAAATTTCCACTGCTTATAGTTTACTTATTGACTTTTAAGTTAATTAATTGAATTGACGAGTATATCGCGTAAGAAGCTCACCTTTACGACGTGTGGTTCAGAAAAAGTGCCGTCCTTGTATGTAGGATCGATAGATTTAGTATTTAATTAATATATGACAACTGGTAGGAAAAAAATTATGGTTGTTGCGACATTAATCACAATGTGGACCGAATTCTATGTCGTTGTCTAAGCAATTTCTATGCAAATTTGGACGACCAATGAAGAACTAATTTGAAGATAATTATCACCGCAACGTAAGTTTCTGCAATCTTTTATGAATTTTTAATATTTTTCTTTTTAAATCTTCATATTCGTTATCTACCTTCAAATGTATTTTTATTATCGAACGATTAATTCAAAATTATCTTAATGACTTATTAGTTTAACGAATAGCTCTGCTGATAAATTATTGTGAGCAATTAGATGAAAAAATGTAGAGTAAATAGATGTCGTATCCGAAAATACAATAATATTAATAACAATACTCAAGACATCAAAGAGAAAGTAAAAATATCGTTTTTATAAAGATAATAATTGATGAATGCTTTGGTTTATTATAAGAATAATGCAATATTTTTAGTACACGTAACAATTTCATAATAGCAGTACTAAATTTTATATAAGTACGATATAAAGCTGCATAAGTGGATATTAATGAAATGAAAATGCTCCTATTCAATAAATCAATAAAGCTTGAGTAGTTTTACCATTTTTAGGCTAAAATCGATCTTTTCATCGTTATCCAATAAATTCTCTCTTGTTTCGCATTTGTTTCGAAAGCCGTTTAATTTTGTGCATAGATTTTTATATTAACATAATAAATTTATCTGTCGAATTATGTCCATGTAATGATGATATTAGAATTTATACAATTTTTATTTCATTCGTGATTAGTATTCACAAGCTCAAAGGTACATCACCGTGATTGTCGAGAAAATTATCGTATCAAAGTCGAATGTTCTTTACATTGAAAAGTCATGTTGCCTGTTGATTTGAAAGCATCAAGTTCAACGAACGAATTATTGAACTCATCTCGTTATCGTGCCATTGGCATCGTGATTTTATCTCCCGAGCACACCAAAGCTCGTGCATTTATACCTGTTGCGCTTCTCTCTAACGATGATTTTCTTTGATTGCAAGCTTTTAACGCCAATCGATTTTTGTTTATTTGTCGAGGCGTCGAATTTTTATAAATTCACTCTGCTATTATTCGAGCGTGCGTTTAAATAAGCTTAATTTTTATGCAATCGTATATCTATCGATAATCACTATACCTAGCAGAAATTACAATATTTAAAATAATTATCTAACAATGGGTCTATAAATAATTGCAAATCATTCGCCTTTGGAAGCTCGTGTATTCTTATCATGGTCTCGGCCAGTCCCGATATTTATTGAAGTTTTCAATAAAATAGTTAAGACGTAATCGAAATGATTCATCATTTATTATTTTATTCATTAAGATATTAGAAATTTCGTGGCATATTAGCATTATATTATCTACAAAAGCTATCGATCGATATACATTTCGTTATTTTGCAGGACGATGAACTTGCAAGCACGAAAAAAAGTAAAGTGAATTTGTGCTTCATATTATATTTTAGTTTCAAATCATTTTTCTCATCTTTATTGTTCGTTAAATAATAGTCTTATCTATCAGATTTAATAACTGTGGCTTTTATTTTTTGTAAAATAATATTTATATTAGGTGCAAATGTAGTTACTTAATAAAATAATGATAATTCTTCGTTCAGTATTGACATTAAAATGTTTGAAATCAATGACATTTCTTGTGTATATTTCGTTAAAATCTATTTCCTAATAATAGACTGCAAAGAAAATCGAATTCATATTTTAATCGAAAGTAGTATTTTTAAATAAGATTTTATATAAATATAAAGTTATTTATATAAATATTTGAGTAAATGGACAAAAAAAAAAAAAAAAAAAAAACATTCTTCTAATGAAAGTCCGATAAAATTTTTAAAAGTGTATTTTCACATTTTATAAAATTTCCTTTACTTTACTTTAAAAGAAAAATTTTATAAAAAATATTTTGCATATATATATTATGTATTTATGCTATGTCATCATCGTAATCATCATTATTAACGGTATTATTTTTATGGTAGATGTAATTATATATGTATATGCCTAGTATAACGCGCGCGCGCACACACACACACACACACACACACACACACACGCACACACACAAATAATAACATTAATTTATTGAATAATTTATTCCTGTTAAAAGATATTATCGATTGCTTTCATAAATTTGCATAATTAATTTCTATGCAGTTAATTATGTAAACGTTACTTAATTGATGTATTCTTATATCACATCATACATTCCGTATTTTTTTTTTTTATTACTATAATAAAGTACATTTAATACTATTAGTTCCCATAATTAGCAATCGACCCTTACTTTTATTCACTATAAATGACGAATGTAATACCATGTTTTCATAGGTATATTGTATCCACTAACATTAATTATAATTATCTATTAGTATAATTGTTTTAATAATTAAGTAATTGATGGGATGATGAAAAAAGGGAAACAGAATAGTAATGAAACATTAGGGTTTATAAGCTATTTACGGTAGCGTGAAATTAAAAAATGTATATAAATAGATATAGAATGGTGTTTTAAATTTTGACAAGTTAATTTTTTCTTTTTTTACAATTGCAATTACAAAATCAGCTCTTAAACTATAATCAGCGCAGAGTTACAAAAGCAATTACATTTTTCATAGAAATAAACGGCGCTTTCTTATAGGATTTGTAAATCATTGACAAGCGATTATCCACTAATCAAGCGCTCGTTCACTAGAGTCGAGATAATTCTTTTACTATTAAATTTCAACTGTTTTTTTTTTTTTTTTTTTTTTTTTGTAATAATTGGCCAACAGGTCCAAAGCTCGAGTCACAGGAGGGCTCGCTATCGGCCTCCCACACTACCATATTCCCAGGCTCCGAAGATGGAGAGTTTGACAAGAGTATCGATTATCCAGGAGTGAGTCCGACTACGTCCACCATCCTAGCGCCGATCACCAAAAGCTGCGATGACTTCCCGGTGGATTACGAATACGATACCCTCTTCTTCCGGTATGCAAGCTCTCAATCTTATATATAATTCGCGTGACTTTGTATCGCGAGGAGACGCGACCGTGTACATTGTGTAAATGTCATCATTAGATAAGCAAATATTCCTTCGACAATTGTTATTCTAGTAAGTTATTTTTATGAATAAAAATCTCAAAGCCTTACGATCACTTAGGATCGAACGTAATTCGTGAATTGAAAAATGTAAATATTTGACAATATACAGCTAAAATAATCCAACGACGAAGGTCGCGGGCAAAATAACTTATTCAACGCGCTCCAGTTAGCTCGCGGGCTTGCGTCGATCGTACCCGGGTCTCGATTTTACGTGGCTGTCGTCGTCTACAGGGACGGCCGCCGGAGGATCGATATGATTCTCGTGTACCGGGAGGAGAACGAGGGCGTGATGACGGAGCTGGAGGCACGCCACCGGGAGCAGCGTCACGTGTTCGAGCAGAATCTTCTGAAGGAGGGACTCCAGTTGGAGCTTGAATCCAAGGAGAATTCCTTCGACGGCAAGACCTACTTCCTCAAGCTACACATACCGTGGAAGGTCAAGGTCCAGTATGCGGAGCTCATGAATCTGAAACTGCCAACCAAGCGATTCATCACGATATCCGTGAAGGCGTGGGTAAGTCGCATCGGCGGGATAGTGGGTGGGTGGCAGGGAGAGAGAGGGAGAGAGAGGGAGAGAGGGGTATTGTGAGGGGGAGAGACAGATGAAGAAAGACTTGGACAAGGTCTTACATCTATACGTGGCCAAAGATGAATTATTGAGGGAATAACTGTAACGCCCAAGTCTAGCTGATAGCATACATCTAGTGATGTCACGTGCTCTCGCCATTTCCTCTCAGCTATCGCGTAACTTTAAACGCTGCTTGCGATCTATATTGGCTTGCATGAGCCTTTTATTTTTCTTACTTCTCGTGTCGGAATTATAAACCCTTTTCTTTCATTTTACATTTTAATAGCGTGCTCGGCCGACTTTGACCCGCATTACTTATTCACCACATAATACTCAAAGTGACACGGTGCTCAATTGCCACGTAATAATATACTTTCTTTCATTCAACTCCTGCGATAGCCGACGATGGATTTAACGCAATGAATGCTATTCTTTACTTTTGCTGGGATATTTTTCTATATATGTATATATATATATATATATATATATATATATATATATTTTTTTTTTTTAAAGCTAATACGACCTAACAATGTTGCTATAACAGTATAACTTTTTTTTTCCTTTCGCAAATGCGCACTTTATATCTATTTCCTTGAGAGTTTTCGCAATGAAAGATTTATAATAGAGTTAGCCGTGGTCTATACTTGAAATAGACTTTAGATTATTTAAGATTTGTGATAGATGCTTTATGCATTATTATTAATTTTACATAGATTCGTTTAGTTGACATTAGTAAGGCTTCGAATATAATTATTAGATTGTACAATAAAATTAGCCACTGTACTTTTCATTTACTTAAAGCCCGAGTCCTTTAATATTCATATTAAAACTACTTATGTAAATTATAAGCAAAAAGTAATGTTATATCCTAGAGTATGCATATGGAAAATTTTTCTTACTTTTAAGTGTGCGTATTTTAAGTCGTCTTAACAGCACGTGCCTATTAAATATCAGAATTCGTAGTTTTATTTAAAAAAAAAAAAATATATATATATATATATATACGTAAAAGTAATGCTCGCTTTGATTACTGTTGTATTCACTTTATTATCAATACATCGGAGCATAATTAAGCGAATAAAACATTTTAGCCAATTGATTTCTGTATTCTATCATGGAGAAATTATGACCCTGTAATTATAAAGCCTTAGCAAGTTGAATCTATAATTGTCCGTTAAGAAATTAAGGGCTACACAAAATGCGATAAAACAAGCGGTAGGTCATTGCTTGTACGACACAGATCGGCGAATCGATGAGACGACTATTACACCCCCTTGCCCCTTCTGCATTTGATTATGTCGCGATCGAAGCTGCTATGGATCACCTCGTTACATAATCACGCGGTCTATCCTTAATCCCGTGACTCCAATTGCGTTACAAATGGCTTTTTCCGACCGAGTTTGATTATTTACGGTGGAAGATGTGATTGATCGCATCTGCACTACACCTAATTTAAATTTTTCAAAGTTTGGCAAACTGTAATTGAATATTAACAAGGATACTTGTTCCGATTGGCAAGCGTGTAATTTATATTGAAAAGCTTACGTTGTTTTATAGTTTGATATTGCTTAGTGGTAGTTCTTGGCTTACCTTTCATTTTAAATTGAAAGCTTTGTCAAGATTTTCTATCGTTTTATCGTTGTTGTTTTTGTTTTTTGTTATTCGCTTTTCATGAGTAGGACATGTTATCTTATTATACGCAATAGTGTTTAGGTACTGTTTTCTCTTTTCAGCATTATAATAGTATATCGCTCTCGCTCTTTAATTGCATATTAGTATTGGCATTATTATGATAATTATAGTAATATCAATAGAAATATTTGTCACATTACTAAGCGACGTTTAGTTGAAAAAGCTTTACAAACTTAATATTTTTCATGTCAGAAGATGTAAGGTTCGGTAAGAAAATACCTGAAATATTTATTTCAATCTGAAATATTAAGTAAACTATAAATAGTAGAATTTTCAAGTTTTTCGAGCTCTTATTAAAATTGGACAGGATAATTTATTTAATATATAATATTGAATAATATTGTCAACTTCAACTGAAATCAGTCACACAGTGAACAATAAGAGGTTTATTAGTTTCTTTAAGATATATACGTTGCATTTCTAGTGCAATCGATAGTACACTACCGTTCGCAATTTATAATAATTTATAATATTTATATTACTTGTAAAACGTATATAGACTTTTTAATAATGCGTGGATTGGGAAATTGGAAATAAAATTTGACTTGTTCAATTATTCCAAGTCGAGGAGAAAAATAATAGTGTGATCGTCAATTATTAAATAAATATTTTCAATATTTATTGCATATATTAAAGCAACGTTATTAAAGAAAGTAGCTAATGCGTATAACCTTAAAAATTGTGTAAAATTGAGATAAGTTTTTTTTACGTTATTATTCTGTAAACATTAACATTTTGTTTCATAATTATGAGGATGATTATTTGGCTCGGAACTGCTATTGTAGCTTAGCGAAAAATTAAAGATTTTAACGATGCCATTGAATAGAATCTGACTTTGGACTTTTTATACTTTGTCAAATGATCGGAATCTCCATTCTGTTTATTCCAAATTTGCATATTTAATGATTAATGAATAATTAGCGCGACGTTGAATGCCAGTTAATTTGCTTATTTCACCTGAAAAATAAGCAATACGATATCACTTTTTGTACTTTTCAAAAACAAAGAATCAGCTGGTGCGAATATTCTTATATTCGAATATTCTTGTGACGATAGATAATAAAATTCAATCCAATTATATTCAAGAGTTTCTTGTTTTGCACGTGCTTGCTTTGGTCGTAGCATTCATCGTCTGAATAAAAGCGTAAAACTGCCAAGTAAGAATAGTTTTTAGTATCTATTTCAAGAAACATTCGTAATGTCAACTATCAATATGTTATTTATCATTATATGAGCTCTTTTAATGCGAACAGCCAGTCGTTTGAAAAGATAATGACCAGATACTTGCCAATGAATACTAAACATTTGAAAATAAGCATTTCTTGAAACGGCAAAATAGAATCTTAAAGAGAGATTCTCCAGCTAATGGTATTTGTAGTTGATTTTGTCCTTACGCTCGTCCCGATCAATCATCAATCCAAACTTCTTACGCATTTGCTTTGTGCGCAAGGACGAGGAGAACGCCAAAAGCAAGGCCAAGTCCTGGAAGCGATGGATGCACTGGGTCGAAAGGATACGCTGTATACATCTATGGGACACGAGCAAATATCCCGAGGAGCCAAGTTTTTATGCGAGTACTGATTCTGGTGACAGAGAGGAGAGGTGAGGTACTTTATACTGCTTGTCAGGTACCCCATGAAAAATTGCTCTCATTTCCTAACACGCGCGCGCGCGCGCACACACACACACACACGTATAATACTTTCATCTATTGCATCAATCGCACGCTCTATCATTATTAATATAAGTGTATAAATGAGATAATAGAAATGGGAATGGGAAATATAAGTGCCAAAGTGACGTAAAATCATGCTGTGTAAAACTTGTGCAAAACTTTGACTGTTTGAAATGCTTAACAGCTATTGTTCTTCTTATCCAATGCAACGAATATAAACGGTAACTCTCGCGTGTTTAAAATGCATTTACTGACGCTTTAATCGTTAACATAGCGGCATAAGTAAACAGATAAACATATATCCAATTGTGCATAAAATTTCATTTTCTACACTATAGAAACACGTACAATAATGATAGACATAATGGAACATTTATTATAAAATGAAAATTTCATTACTTTGATAAAGCAATAATGTTTATTATTGGCAATTTTTTTAATTTTATGAATTGAAAATTGGAAAGGACTATTGTACAGTAATAATTTTATTATAATTTTTACGTACAACTTAATTTATCATTCTGCTGAAATTGAAATATTGCCCTCTTCGTGTCTTATCGAAAAAGAAATATTCACATTTCACATATAAATGCGACTGAGTTCTAATATTAAATATTAAAAATCCAATTTCTGTAATGTCTATAATATATATATATATATATATATATATATACTTCGCTGTTGGTTATTGGATATATGAGCTACCATAATATGGATGATGTAATAATAAATGTAAAAATAGAATGAAGAGGTGGGAAAAAATATTATCGACTTAAAGTAATCGCAACATTGAGCAATCGAAACATGCTACTGGCAACATCATTCAGTCTATGTATTACAATGTACTTTTATTCGTAATAATAATACACTAATAATAATAAAAATCAGTTTTTTAATTAATTAGGTTTATTGTAAAAAATGTGAATAATTTATATTAAAGGAGGATTTAATAGGTAATCGAGAAATTTTAAGGAATTTTTAACTACATAATGGTAGCGTAAAATTGTGTGCTTATCATTGGTGAATTAATAATTAATTGTATTTAAGAAAATTAATATAAAAGTAGAGTTAATAGTGGTTACCTATCATGTAAAGTGACCACACCCCTTCTCATTTGTACAAATAAGCTTTATTATCAGGGCATTAAAATATCATCGTATAATACAATGTTATGAACATATGTGTGTGTGTGTGTGTGTGTGTGCGTGTGTGTGTTTAATTAAAAAATAAATTTAAAAATAATAATTAATCAATTGATTTTACTTTATACAATTTTCATTTAACATTATTGAATCTCAATATTTTAAATAGAGTATAATAAAAAATTATAACTATTAAATATACTGTTTATAACATAATGTAAAATTATATAATTTTGAAGACTTTTGAAGGCAATAAATTAAACATTTTTTTCCTTTGTTCATAAGATTGTTAAGACTATATAACTTCTTCATTTCCAATGAAAACTTAGAAATTTAAATATAAACGAGTTTTTCTGCTGATTTCTAATGATATAAAGTTAAAAATTTTTTTTAATTTCTTCGATTCATCCTTAATTAAAGTTTGCAATTGAATAGAAGTGAATTCAATAACATACGTAGGAATCTAATGCCACGTTTTAGATTATAATATGCAGTAATTACTATGAAATATCAAATAAAAGTGTTTTTAATTTTGACGACAATTATAATTGCAAAATTTAAAGTGAAATTGCAAGAATTAAGAAAATTATGTAGCCGAGGAGCAGCCGAAATCGATATACGCGAAAAAAATAAACTGGAAATCTTAAGATATGGGGTAATCTATTACAATCGTAAATGATTGTCGAATTGAATGCGCAATATTTCCGTTCTTTCTGTTTTCTTGAAAGAATTCATACTTATACGTGGATGTTTGTAATGAAAAGAGATAGAGAGAGAGAGAGAGAGAGAGAGAGAGAGAGCAGAAACAATCAAAGCATTCAAGAAATACGATCGATGAAAACATTAATATTTAAAAGGTATTTTTCATCTATAATTATTCAAAATTAAATGATTTGTTGAAATTAAATTTAATCATTTAGTACATTTAAGTTGAATATTTCTACTTTGTTTTTTCAATAATTTAAAAAAAAAAAGGCACTTTTTCTGGATAGTACGAGCAGATGAGTTATGAAAGAGTTCTTTTATCTTGTCTTTTGGCGATAGACTTTACGTATTTAATAATTATAGTTTGTTTGAATAGGTAATGTTGCGTGGCTCTACTATGCACGTGTTTGATAAAGTTTCGCATACCTTATTAAATCACGGTTATATCTACATTTATTACAATTAATGATTTACTCTACGTCATACATTGGATATCTATCATTTATTTCGTCACATTTTTTCAATCTGTAAAAAGTATACTACTAACCGTACTTAACAATTAATTCACGAGCCAATAACTTTGTTATATCGTGTATACTATAGGGAGGTATAACACTAATTAACATTCACTAATATTGAGTGATTAATAATGTGGGGAGAGAGAGAGAGAGAGAGAGAGAGAGAGAGAGAGAGAGATCAGGAACTACATCATATATATATATAATTTTTCAGATAGGTTGGGCATATAATTATACTGTATGTGTATATACGTGGTTCGGCTCCCCCAAAATACTTCGAAGTAAGGCATTTTGATAAATGTATAAAATAAATAAATGGATTCTTTGGTGATACTGTATTCTCATTAAAAATTCACGTACAAATGGAGTTTTATTTAAATAGCTCAATGAAATGTTAAAGAATATACAATTGTCAATTTTATTTAATAATAATGATTTGTACGTTGTATATATGAATAATTGTCTTTTTTATTCTTCAGATGTTTGGTCATTGTTAGTAAAATAAATCCTAATATTGTAGAGAAAGTAAAAAGTATCTGCTATAATTAATATGTAGTTATAAAAGAATTAAGCAAGTCCGTGTCGCCAAAACGTTTTCGGCACTTACCTCATGCATAAGAATTATTACGAATACATTAATTAACGAGCTTAAAGCGTCATCGATTTTCTTATTAAGAAGTGAATTTTCTCTTAACAACTTTTCTTATTAGCGGTTGGTCACATTTACTTTTTTATATATGTATTTCCCATGTGCTTTGTAATTATAAATTTACGCTGGTGAATGACCAATATATCTATTGTCAATGTGCACGTAGCGTCAATGAATTAAATAGATTGTGAAATGAATTTGTATTTGGCTTCCGGTGATTGTTTTCATGCTGCGTCTGCGCGTCTTTCGACAAATTAGCCATCGATCAAGATATGTTCCAGGCAATGATAAACAATCATGAAAGTCTTAATGCTGCTAATTCAAAACTCTTCGCCTCCCTTCATTTCACCATTCCCAAATAATAATGCAAATAGACATTCTTTCCTATCATTTTCACGAGCCTTTTTGCACAGTTAATAGGAAAGTCAGAGAGGCCGATAAATTCGCCAACCTTATGCTTTAAAATCGTGATAAATCATTGCTCGAGTGAACAGATTTGTGGTGAAGGATCGTGACACCGCTTACACACCGGCCCAGCGGTCCTTAATAGTCATGCAGATCCTGTTGCGAGCTAAATACGACGAGGTGCACGAGAAGGCCGGCATAAGGAGGCTCCTCGCCGACGGTACCTACATCGACTGCTTCTCGCTCCACGAGGGGGTGTACAATAAGCCGGCGAGCAACGGGCAGATCCTCGATCGACACCTCCTCTACCTGATATGGGCCCGACCGGGACAATGGTAGGACTTTGCGTAGAGTCGCGAGTAAATTTACACAAATTAAGGAGTGCCGTTAGTGTTGAGTTTCGGCTGACATGTATTCGTCACTTATTCTTCCACGCGTTGATTTTTGTAAATAAATGTTGTTTCACGGTGTCTTAAACATTACCGGAGGTGGCACAATTACCGGGAATGAATATATTGCCGCTCAGGACGTAATGCCAAACATACGGCAAATTGATGGGACTAATTGGATGGGATTTTAATTGTACGGACATCGCAGGTACAAGAAGCAGCCGCTCTGGCTGATAAGACGCTACTTCGGCGAGAAGGTCGCACTGTACTTCGCCTGGTTGGGCTTTTATACGCGAGCCCTTTATCCACCGGCGATAGTCGGATTGCTGTGCTTCTTCTATGGATTGGGCAGCATGGAGGGCGCGGATAATATTCCTAGTAACGAAATTTGTGACTTTAAGTTATCGGGTGAGCATTGACGAGGAATGTTTAGTTGACGTTGTGACTAATGACGTTTGCGTGCTTCGGCAGGAAATATTACGCTTTGCCCCTTATGCGACAAGGCGTGCCCTTACACAAGACTCGGAGACTCGTGTCTCTTCGCTAGACTGACCTACCTTTTTGATAATCCCTCTACGGTCTTCTTTGCCATATTCATGTCCTTTTGGGGTGAGTGTGACGTTATTATTATATTATTGTAATTAATTTAAATCGTTGGTGGCGTCGTTTCGAGCGATTTCACTGGCCGCTTAGTACTTATAGCATTGCCGACGGTTGATACTTAATTGTAAAATTGTAAATTAATAGCCGCATTGACGTATCGTTTAACAAACACATGAAGTTTCATCGCGAAATCGTGTATCGCTTTGCAAACGCGAATTACCGAATTAAGCTTTGTGTGGCCGAGTACCTGGCTCAAACGATGTCACTTTCATTGCGCTACGGTATAATAACAACAACAACTACTACAACAACAATAATAATCATAATAAGAATGATGATGATGATGATGATGATGATGATGATGATGATGATAACAACAGTAATAATAAGCGTGAAATGAATCGTGAGAGGAGTTAGTAAAGGGGATGTACCGACTGTCCACTAGCGACGACGTTCCTGGAGATGTGGAAGCGAAAGCAGGCAGTGCTCGCCTGGGAGTGGGACCTGCAGAACGGCGAGGGCGACGAGGAGCCGAGGCCCGAGTTTGAGGCAAGTGTCAAAACCTTCCGGATAAATCCAGTGACCAGGGAGCGCGAGCCGTACCTGCCTGTGTGGTCCAGGACGATGCGCTACGTCGCCACTGGCTCCATCGTCTTCTTCATGGTACTTGTCATAATATTCACTTTGGCTTCTAAGTACACTGGAATTGTAAAATTATAATGACAATGACGAGGAGTGCAGTGTAGTTTGCAATCCAATAATGAAATTTGTTATTAATTGACGGTATGCGACGAGAATAAGAACATTGAAATGCATTGTCGGTTAAAATGTCTTATTCGAATAATTGAAATGGCAAGGAACTATAACGATGCAAAAATCTCCTTATAAAATAAATAATTATGATAAGATATATAGACGATATATAGACAAAATAGACGAATGGAGGCGCGATAACGCATATATGCAATTAAATCTATTTTTACAAGGACGTTATTAAATTTGCGACGATAACGCAATTAAACATAAATATTGTTAGATTTGCGTGGTCCTGGGAGCAGTACTTGGCACGATAATCTACAGGATCTCCCTGGTCGCGGTATTTCACGGGGGCGGCCACTTTCTTAAACGGCATGCAAAGATCTTCACTTCACTGACTGCGGCCTTCATCAATTTGATCATAATCATGATTCTGACTCGGATTTATCAGAAACTCGCCCGGTGGATGGTGAATATGGAAAATCCACGGACGCAGACCGAATACGAGGCTAGTTTTACCTTCAAAATCTTCCTCTTCGAATTTGTTAACTTTTATTCGTCCCTCATCTACATCGCATTTTTCAAGGTAATTCACATATACTTTCATACTTAAACGATGAATAAGATATTGAAGATTTATTACATAACGAAAATTCATTTATATTTTTCTTTAATAATGTAGAGACATTCGATTAATTCCTTAAGTAAAGCTTAAGTAAGCGATGTTAAGCAGACACAAGTAGATTCATAATTAGATATACGTGCGCAATGAACGATTCACGCATATTGCTAAAATAATTAATTAAAAAATACTTGTAACGCGTACGTAAATACCATGTGAAAAAAAAAACTGTTATTTTCGTCTAATATCGATTATCAGTTGACTCGAAGGCAATTTATCATGACATAGGTTTAAAAACTTCTTATTGAACCTAAATTTATGTCCACTAAGTTATTCCAACGTTATTAATTGCACTATTATCGTGCATTTCAGACTTGGTTAGAAACCGTATTATTATATTGTTTTTAAATAATCGATCTCTGCTTCGCTTATAGTTCAGGTACTTACAGTACATTTGACGGACTCAAACTGTCTATAAGTAAATATGAATACATTCGAATTAAAGCCAATTAATTTCACAATGCACATTTCCAACTATTAATGATTCTAGATCAATTGCATTAGCAAATATATTCATCGTTTTTAGTTAAACACAATTTTAGATTAATATCAATGTAATCAACGATCAAAGAAATTGTGGATATATTCCTTGTCTTATACAAGCAGTTGTTTTATTTTTTTTATAAATTCATAACTAATCTAATGAATCGAGCTTGATTCAAGCTGAATCGCATTTGCTTATTTCGTGAAAAAAAAAGGGAAGATTTTACGTGCATCCGGGTGACGCAGAGTCGCGCTCCTCCGAATTCTATCGGATAAAGACGGACGTATGCGATGCATCCGGTTGCCTCTCCGAGGTCTGCATCCAATTGGCAATCATCATGATCGGAAAGCAAGTGTTTAACAACTTTGTGGAAATATTGTCGCCGAAGATGTGGAATTGGTGGCGCAAGCGGACTCACGTTGCCGCGACAAAGGACCAGTCGAGGCCCTACACCAGCTGGGAACAGGATTACCAACTGCAGGATCCCGGCAGGCTTGCGCTCTTCGACGAATACCTAGAAATGAGTGAGAACTTTAGTTTCCTATTAATGAAGTATTTTATGATGTATATTATAATTGGCATTACAATACGCTTTAACGCTTTATAATTAGCCCCTTGTGATATATATATATATATATATATATATATATATATATTTGTGCGCTTTTGTTATATTATTAAAATTCAAGGAAAAACTGAAATCTGCGACGAAGTAAAGTTTCGTTTCATCCGTTTAACGTGTGTTTGTACCATAATAATAATAATAATAATAATAATAATAATAATAATAATAATAATAATAATAATAATAATAATAATAATAATAATAATAATGATGATAATAACAACAACAACAACAATAATAATAATAATAACAACAACAACAACAACAACAATAATCGTCATCATCATCATCATCATCGCCATCATCATTATGTTACTAGATCTTTTGCGAAGGCTTTATCGTATTATCAATATTTTTATTTCTATAGAACTAACGATTTTATAATAATTATTAACAATTGTAACGCTATTCAATAGAGTTCGGTATGAAATTCAAAACTCGTAACTGCTTCATATACCACGAGCACACATTGTCTGTAAAATATCAGATATAATTGATTATTGTAAATTTAATCCTTAAGATTTTTCATTGCTAATTCTGATTATTTTTATAAAAAGACTCGGATTAAAATATACATTTTTATAATTATCGACTGTTCTAGATTGTTGTAGACATTAGTGAGATACACACTTTATCAAGCGCGTCTATCTTATTTAATATAACGCAACTGTCGGCAATAAAAAAGATTCCTAAATAGTGAAATTATATCGGTAGGTAACGTCGAGTGAAATGTATTCTTCGCGAGACTTTTCGATGCCGATTATTAACACATTTTTCTAGCTTTAAATTCTTCTTTGGTTGATTGTTTACGCAATCCTGCGGACTAAGCGTTCAAAAACTAAATTGTTACTTCTAAGATCTTATTCGCTATTCTAATAAGCCATGCAATTTCTTATCCTTTTCTTTTATAAGCCATGTCAATGATCCAAACTAAAAAGAAAAAACCGTCTTCCCCACAGTAATTCAGTACGGCTTTGTGACCCTATTCGTTGCCGCATTTCCGCTCGCGCCCCTCTTCGCTCTTTTGAACAATATTGCTGAAATACGACTGGACGCTTACAAAATGGTTAAGGAAGCTCGGCGACCTCTGGCCGAGAGGGTCGAGGACATCGGTGCCTGGTACGGAATCCTCAAGGGTGTTACGTATGCCGCTGTTGTATCCAATGTGAGTACTCTAATTCTGTATTTAATCCTTGCCTATTCAAAAACAAAAACAAAACAAAACAAAACAAAACAAAACAAAACAAAAACAAAACAAAACAACAAAAAAACAAAACAACAAAAAAACAAAACAACAAAAAAACAAAACAACAAAAAAACAAAACAACAAAAAAACAAAACAACAAAAAAACAAAACAACAAAAAAACAAAACAACAAAAAAACAAAACAACAAAAAAACAAAACAACAAAAAAACAAAACAACAAAAAAACAAAACAACAAAAAAACAAAACAACAAAAAAACAAAACAACAAAAAAACAAAACAACAAAAAAACAAAACAACAAAAAAACAAAACAACAAAAAAACACAAAAACTTCATTGCTCTTGCTTAAAAAAAAAGAAAAGGAAAGATCAAACGAGTCGTCAACATTGATAATCTATATGATTCGATAAAATGAAATCAAAATTTAATCGTTTCAATGCATGTGATTATTTGCGTTATATTTTATTTCAAATGTAAAAGGCGAAGAAATGTCGTTTAATTTGAATTATGTTGCGCATGTCATTTAAGCGAAATTTCACACAAGATTTGAAAGGAGAATACTTTATTATAATAGATTGTTAAAGTATCGAGTGATCTAAAATTTAAGCGACATATCATAAATAACGTACAAGTTGTATTATACTAATTATTGCGAGGACCTACACTTTTTTTGAAGCGCTCAAATTATTCACTTACGAAAACGTTTTACGAAGTAACAGCCAAGTGTTTCAATAATAATCGTAAGCTATAAATTTATTATGAAAAATTCTTTAAAAACATATACATTCTATTAGTGAAAATTAAAAAAGTGTAAAGCCGAATGCATTCGTAAAGTGTATAAAATTATCATTAATTGAGAAACATTAATTGGTGAATTGATAAAGGATTCGTAAGATAAAGTATATATCGTATTGATGGAGGGGAGGGTGGGTGGGTGGGTGGGTGG